CATTGTGGGAGTTGTTGTGGCCTCGGCTCCTCTGACTTGACACAGATGTTTGAAGGCTTTGCCTCAATTTTACGTAATGCCAACCGTGAGAGAAATATGCGATTTTCCTTTTTCTAAAAAACATATGACCCTGTTTTTTTCAAAGGGTGCAAAATAAAATTCTTATTTATTAGTATCTTAATTTTTGTATTGAATGACGTGTCAAAGCTGCGTTAGACGCGAATGTTTTAGCAACACGGGATCAAATGACATGACGTTATTTGTACAAATGAGGACATTGTTCTCTGGCTTCTGTGCTAAATGCATCGACCCCTAATGAACGGGTCGTTGTCACAGCTGATAAATCCAGCCGGGAGGTAATGATTTGTGTGAGAAGAAATTGTGCGCTTCATTACATCATCAACACATTAATACTTCCAGATGGTCCATATTGGTCCTGAGCTGCTGCTTGATGAGTCATTGTCCACCGTGCAGAAAGGCAGACCGCACCCGAGGCAACGAACTGATAATAATCATCCCCAAAATGCAATTCTCCCCGACGGAATGCGGTCGTACGGAGGCCGAGCAGGCTGAGCCCGAAGCCAGTCAGAAAATCTGAGGAGCACATTTTCCACGCGGCCTCGGTGGTGTTCAAAGAGCCGTTTGATTGCGTTCGCTGCGTCGACGCTGCCGGACAAGAAGCAACAAAATCCCTCTGAACTCCATCCTTTTGTGTTCCCTGATATTGGAAATCTTTTAGATGTAGTAGAAAACATCAGGTCAACACATTTGAATCCCTTGAGTTACAAACGGCGCATAAAAAAACATCGCAATCAAAACCGACAAGTGAGTGAAAAGTCGTCGTCGGGCCTTTTCAACCGCCGCGCGCATGGAAGTAAGTCGTTGCACGTGAGTTGTTCACAATAGTAAAATAGTACAAACTGTGATGGGGGATTCTACAGCAGCTGACGTTGCGAGTTATGACGTTACGGGCAACAGCAACTCACATCCTGTGAAGTTGTTTGCAGCCACGTAAGGAAAGTGGTCGCCGCTGAGCTGAGTGCCATTTACAGTAAGTACTAACGAGCCCTTTCAGGAGGAGGTTCTTCTTCTTACCGGTAGGAAAAGAAGAGTATGCACAACACTTTCAGAAGAAACCGTAGATTTATGGATCAGCTTCGGCATTAAAAGTGCACGTGAAATGAAATTCACACTCACATTGTTTTTTTCCCCACCGAGCGGACGCGTGCGAGGAGGCTCATTCGCTACTTCGGTCGCAATAAACGAACTGCCATCGGGCGCGAGGTAAACATCTTGCAGCCGATTGGTAATCAGTGTCATTCTGTCAGCGCGCAGTTTGGCCTCCTGTGTGAGAAGCCCGGAGGCCGGCTCATGTCACCCTGATGGATGGAGGCTGCATCAAAGACCTCAATATCTCCTCACAGTCACCGTCGGTCACAGTGGATTGATGCACATACAGTATACCTGCAATATTGTTCGTCAGTCACTCTGTTAAGTTATTGCAATTCATCCTGAGTGGATAATGAATGTACCCATAGTAGTGACAATACGTTTTAGAGTTTTTGACACATTTCTCTAGAAATCTCTAACGTTGTCATAAAAATCCTGACAGGTGACTTCTAACAACTAGCAAAAGAAACGCAGATGCAAAAGCAACATGAACAAACAAACGGGTAAATCAACCAAAAACCTGAACTTACCGGTATATACTATTATATAGATGATTATAGATGTAGACGGCATCAGTGATGTTGCGTCAGTGATGTTACTCACTGACACACTGAGCTTTTACAAATTCATGAAGGCCTTTTAATTCATCCATTCATCCATTGTGTCCTTTCCTGTATTTGTCATGACTTGCATGTGACAGTATTTATCTTGTTAAATCGTGACTCATAGTTAGTGGCTTATGTCTGATTAAGAGGAACATCAGTCAGTCATGTTCTATACCTAATATAACATATATGGAGTCAATATAAAATAATATAATAAAGAGGGAAACATCAGCCTTTCACAAACCAAATCATCAGTGTATTTGTAATAAATGGTATTGACATTAAAAGCATGCGTCAGTTCCTTTTGTATTGACATGCGTGGTCATTATAGTCGATCAATGATGGCTCACATGGCTGCAACGTGCTAGAAAGGCTTATTTTATTTAATATTAAACCAAACAAGTAAGTGGAAGTGAATATGCATTAAAAATGTGTTATAAAACACAATGTTTTCTCTTTTGGAGGACGATAACTTTAAGAGTCTGTGCAGTCAAACTGTCTGAAACCTTTTGATATTTCAGTTTTGTTTTTTTGCTGTCAGACAAAACTTTTAATTCATACGTTGGTTATCGCATGCGAAAAAGAAAATCCCTGAGCAATAAGAAAAGGCCTCATAGTGCGATGGAATTTTTTAATAAATCTGTTTCTTTTGATAAGGCAAAAGAAAAATTAGGAAACAGCCCTTATCTTGTTGGCTGAGGAGATGAGTTTATACTTCAGTGGGAATTAACGCTAAAGTAAGAACTATGTGTTGGATTCATGTGAGCACAATTTCTACTTTGAAAAAAATGAATATAACAGAAAGTCAACTGCACTTTGCTTCCTGTTATTTGTAAGAACGCAGGTTACAGCGCTGTGAAGGTCACCAAAAACAACGCTTCCCCAATAGGTTTTGTCTTTTAAATTACTCTGCAACAGGGTGACTTTTTATTCTCAATCTTTTAGTTTGTGGAAGTCGTGATGGGAATTTCAATTACAAATCAGAATGTTGTAAAAACTGTGATTTTCTGTACATTGAGGCTCAAATATTTTGGGAAAAACATAATTTTCTGGCAATGTTTCATAGTCTGAATAAACAACCAGTGGGGAAACCTTTGGTGCTGCCAATAAAATATGAGAACAACTTGAGATCAAATGAACTAAAGATAATCTAAAGTAGACAATACAACAGAAACAAAAGTAAGATGAAGATATGTCTAAATGCTTTATATATATCTGATAAAATATTAATCATTATTAAGGAAAATAAATGTATGATTAAAATACAATTGTATTGAGGCTTGAAATAAAAAAAGAGAAATATGTGTTACTTCTCGTGTTAAAAGAGAGCTCACGTTGACAATACTTTCTTTACTCCATGTCACTCTGCTCCGGTTTGTCAAAAGGGGCTTTTAAACAACTCCAAGCCCTTCACACCCACACGTTACATTTTTGGGATTTAATAAATGCAGGAACACAATGTGAGATATTGTAATTTCTCAACTGCCAGGTAGCCCACTGTCATAGATGGATATCAACGGTCGCACCACTTCAGCACAGAAAGAAATAAACCACGAGCCAACGCAAACCTCCTTTATTTCATTTTCTGTATGTCATGCTATTACAACACAACCATGATAGTCGGTGCTAACATTTCCACCCTCACCTGTTAGTTCGTCAATGGCGTCCTGTCCGTGCACGGAAAACTGTGATATAGTTCAGTGAAACAGCTCTTTACATCAGCGTGGTTGAGTCCGGGTTCCTTATTTCTTCTAATTTGCAAAATCAACCTAAATTGACAAATCCACTAAACAGAGAGAATCCTAAGCTAAAGGGAACAAAGACCAGAGTTTGAGGGGGAAAGAAGACGAAAATAACCGAAAATAAAACGGTGAGAGAAGTATTCAGGCACTTAGAAATACTCTCGGGTCCTTGGCTACACTGTGCTTCATTACACCCTACATGCATTTTAGAGCCCATCGCGATCCCGCCACGAGGAGGATGAGCGCGCCTCTACAGGACGAGGCCTTAGCACATTCAAGAACGACTAATTAAAGGGACTTTTTCACACAACATCAACGTTTCCTATTTACACGTGAGCCTAGTGTTCTCTACTTACGTTTTCTCATTGCATATCCCCTACGACGTCATTTCAACAACCATTATTGTACAAAGTCAGTGACAAACAAAAACGAGAAGCAAGACATCTGCAACAGCCAGTATCCAACACGTCGGCAATCAAGTGCAGGAATTATTTAGTTATTTTTTATTTTTTTTAAGTAAAAATGAGCTGAAAATCTATTTTCCTGTACTTTTACACACCAATCCTGTCTTTCACGTGGCCCTTAATGGATTCTCACGTTCCAGCGGTCCTGATGGAAAGGGAGCAATTTGAGACAATGACAGCATCAATTTTATCCACACCCACTGCGGGAACATTACTGTACACTGTGTCATTAAAGGGACATGATGCATGCACTCGCTGCCCGGCTCAAAGAGGAATGGTTGTGTTGATTTATTTATTTTTATTTATTTTTTTCACAACACGGCTTTGAGAGTTCTGTCCTCCCGTGGTAAAAAAAAAAAAAAAAAAGGGCCCGCGGACGACGAAATGGAGTGAAGGCAAACGGTCACAACCAACAGCGAACGGCATCGACTGCGGATGACTGAAGTAACCACGGGAAACATCAACAAGAAGAGTTCACTGAAACGGACATTTAGCTTTGTGCTTACTTCTGACCATTACAGATACACAAAGAGGGACCGACCACAGGTTCAGGTTTCACAAACTGAGGGAAGTGACGCACAGCACAACACACAACGGCCCGTCCACCTCTCGCCGAAACATTCGAGGCCAAAACATCAAATAAGACACTTTAATTCTTTGACAAAATGAGCTCAACTAATTTAACCAGCTAGTTTACATCTCACGGGCTTCTTCTTAATTGTCACAGAGAGAGTTCAGTTTTTTAAAGCACACACATTGGGGGGGCGGATTCTCCCTAAATCTTCGCATGGCAACTACGGTATGGTTAAAGGTTTCGGGGGACTTTGTGGCTGTGGTGAATGAGCAGAGTTTGGGGACACCGTTAAGTTTCCTCCAGGCAGCGGAAAGGGCTCGACCTCCTCCTCGGGTACTGAATGGAGGAGGTTGGATGTAACCAGTTTGGGGTTTCGGTGTCGACGTGCTACTAAGCACTTCTCATCTTGGCTTTAATTTGAGAAACTCGCTTCTTGTAAGTATCGTATGAGATTAATCCCAGACGTGGATTAAAAACATGCAACCCTGTACGGATGCTTTTAGGGTGAGGTGTCCTGGGATATTTTGTAATAATTAAAGTTAAATTAATATTTTATAATTATTAATATATTATATATAACAATTATAATTAAATTAAAGTTTGAAATGTTATTCATTTGACAAATGTATTTACTTTTCACAGTAAAATAAGTTAATTATAATAATAATTTTAAAGCTATATAATTGATCAGAGTCTTCCATCTGGTTTAGATGACTAGAGACTAAGAATGTGGTTTTTGGTATTTCTTCTTACTTTATGACCATGATGACTTTTTTATCTGTCTATTTCTCATGGCATCGTAAGGACGTTGTTTAATGAACTATGGTGCCGTGTTGTTATAATAACAAAAGTTTCTTGTTTTAATTAAATTGACTGATATAGTGTAACAAAAAGGGTTTCTTCATGACTTGATAAGGTGATACGTGGTTGTAAAAGCTCAATCTTTTTTCCTGTGTTAATAATAAAAGAGAGAAATGTCATTGTCATGTCCACCATGAATAAATTATCTGCATAAACTCCCATCAATGATTGATCCCAGAAGCCACCAACTAACCAATGTAATCTTAGCTAAAAGCCTTATAAGCCTAAACACAAATCAGAATGTGAATAAAAAAAGAAATCAGTATAAAACGCATAGTCCCTAATGCCGTTATTGAAAAACAATGCATTCTATCTGTTTGCAGCCACATTTACATCCACAGAATGCATTATTTTTCAATGGCTGCACAAAAGTAGATACTCCTGCTTACACCATGGCCACTTGCTACATCTAGAACACAAGTATTGTTTCATCTTTGGGGCAGAACATTCTTTAAATGTAAACGTTGTATTGACTCTTTCTCTTAAATCACTTAAATCACCATCGTTCCAGCTTTGAGAATTTGTCTTAATTTTCACTTAAAAGGTAAAGGTTTTGAAATAAATTAAGATAAAAGGAATATTTGGGGTACGTTAGCCGGACATTGTATCTGTGAGCACACACCTACATCGCAACAATAACACGCAGGTTTAAACCTTTTAAAAGCACGTACTTTTGGTACAACATATCAGAATAGTCACCGTTTTCATAATTCCATTGAGTTGAGTAAGTGTTTAGTTACAGTTCACGGCATCCGGTCCTCCCTGCGGCCGCAAGATGGTTCACTAAATGCTTCAGTGGGTGCTCACCCGTCTCTTTCATTGTTGTTTTATCAAATTTGAATAGTCTCAATAACAAGCATATCTGAATTATATCTGAATTCCCCGTAGGGTCACTGGTCGGAAATGCAACGAGATGTGCAGATTAAATATTCTCCTTGCTGCTGTCAATATGAATATTTAAGTTTAAATGTAATTTTAAAGGGAAAGAAGTATTTGGTGTTTGCGAACCTCAGTGTACATTTTGGGGCTTTGAGGTTATAAAACAAGGCCTATGGGAGATGGAGTTTAGGGCGTCAAGTCTTACAAATATATTTCGTTTTCTCAGATATTCCAAATTTGCAACTATAAAAACCCATTACCTTGTCAATGTTTGAACCTGAGATTAAAATTTTCCAAACTATTGGCAATTTTTGTAGAAAAGACAATAATGGTGTCTGTTAGACTCTCTGGCCTTCCTTCTCATCTCATCTCAGATCGGACATCAACAAACCCTGGCAACGACATACCACAGAATCCCTAAAATACAAAGATTTCTCATCAGATCTGATGATCGATTCGCCTAAAAGTTTGAAATAGTAAACACTACAAACATGGGTCCTGTTACGATAAACGCTTCGGTGTTCCTTAGTTGCGGGTCGTCTCTGACCGGCTGTCAGACCACAGTGCTTATGTCGTCAGCCTCGTCGGGTTTCTTGGGCTTGCTGGGCAGAGACTTGAGGTACTCCAGGTGGCGCCGGGCGTCCTCCTGGTTCTGACGGACATAATACACCACGTAGGAAATCACCATGGCGAACCAGCCGAACATTGTCACCAGCATGGCGTAGTCTGTGGTCCTTTTGGCCAGGTTACAGAGGTCAGTATCCACCGCCAGGAAAGGTCGACCCTCCTGGTCGCGCAGCTCCGAGCTCCTGCAGAGGACCCGGGCGGCGGCCTCGTGGTTGTGGGCCATGCCGCCGATGGCCTGCTGCAGGGCGCAGTCGCAGTGCCACGGGTTATCGTCCACGATCACCCGGGCCTTCAGCCGAGCGAATGCATCCTTGTGCACGCTAGTGATGCGGTTGTGCGAGAGGTCCAGCACCTGCAGCGTCGCCTCGATGCCGCTGAAGGCGGCCTCCCCCAAGGTCTCCACCGCGTTGTACGAGAGGTTGAGCTCCCTCAGGAGCCTGAGTCCGTGGAAGGCTTGATCCGGCACGGCGCCTATCTGGTTGTGGTCCAGCCTCAGCAGGACGGTGTCGACGGGCAGGCTCGGGGGGATCTCTTTGAGGCGGGACTGGCTGCAGGTCACGTTGAAGCCGTGGAGGTGGGGGTCCCGCTGGCAGATGCAGCCCTTTGGACACATGCTGGCCGAGGGGAAGCACAGGGCCATGAGGACGAGGCTCTGGAGGAGCAGGCACATGGAGATGGAGCGCGACAGCCACAGGTCCAGCAGAGTCATAGTGACCGCCCGTCGGCAGCATCCCCGCCTGGGGCCGCAACACTGCCGCTGGTCCCTCACACACATCGCATAGCGGCGACTGGTCCTCACTGCCTGCCCACCGGAGATCCTGGAGTCCGATCAGATGTTATCATGCTGCGTCGAGGCCTGAGGAAGGATCAAGCAGAGATACATTTGTTGCAACTTGTTAATTTTGTGTGTTTTATTATCGTTCATTCAATCGCCAGGTTGTCGCGCCGCTATGAGGTTGACAATAAGTGAAAATGTCTCAACTATTCGATGGATTACCGCACAGACATTCGTGGTCCTCACAATTACTTTGGGACTTCTAGCACACAATTACATTTGCACCGGCCTTTTTTTCAGGACTGCCTTTAGCTACAATGCTAAACACAGTTAGTGAACATGGTAAACAATACCTCAGTGAGGGAGCATTTAAGCATCAGCACCAACGAGGGCATTCAGAGCCAAAACAAGGGGCTGCTTCTGTCGGGCCGCGTTGCTTCGGGTACTTAAATCTTTCATCACACCAACGAGGATTAGAGAAACCGGACAGTGAGTGTGAGGCGGAAACTCTCTTATCTCTTTTGCAAGTTGCTCATCATCCTCGACAAATGACTCGTCTCTGTACTGAAGTAAATCAGCAGCCGTAATTTGTGGATGTCCTGAACGTTTTTTACGATCCAATATTTAATTAAAGTCTTTAAATTATACGGCTCAAAGCACCCAGCTGTCAACAGGCCGGCACAGAAGCGGAATATATTTCCTGCATTAAAAACAAAGATGACCTTAAGATTTCCCTTGATCTATGTTCTAAGATGTAGATCATTGACACTCTTATCTGTTGTTGAACTGATGCGTTGACATTGCTGAACAAATGTTGCGCAATATCCAGTGGCTCATGTGAGGTTTGCATTAACATAAAAACGTGGTTGTCTAGTTGTAATTAATTATGATCAATTAATTATATTCAATTAAATATAATCTGGTTAGCCGAGTCCTTAGTGTGAAAAAAAAAAACTTGCACAGCTGTTTAATTCAATAATACGACAACAAGCGTGAGAGTCTGCCTGCAGAATCCTCTCACAATCACTTAGTGTAATACATTAAAAAAATTAATGGGGCTTCTGAGATCCGTCCGAAATGTCATCACTTGCTCTTCTTATTCTACATGCTACATTCTTGACAAACATTTGTGATGTCACAGTGCCCTCGACCTTCCACCGCCAATATCTAAACAGGGAGGAGGTTCATCTCAAGCTATAAGGGATATATAACAATATGATGTTCACAAGAATAGAGATACAGAAAAAACAATGCAGAAAACACATTGCCAGCGGCGCCGGCTGTCTCATAAACACACCTGTAGATGGTGTTTCCACAACAACATTGATGCACTTCAATATTCTTGAGGATGGAAATAATGGGATTGATGACAAGTGTTGAACAGAAGTGACTGATTCTACATCCTCCACCTCACGCTGATCTCCGACACTTCTGATTGTTGAAGTGAGTCACCGTCTGACAGCCGATGATGATGAGAGACAACGGCGCTCTAACCGATGTTCTTCCTATTCGACGTTCTTACCGTTCATACCATCGTCCACCGAGCACAGACCCTCATTTCTTCAACAGGCTTTAAATCAATTTCATTTAGCTAAACATCAGTTTTCTCCAGGAGACCTTGAGGAGTAGAATAGGCCACACAAATAGATACAGCTCTTTTATCATCACACGGATACTTTTGCTCCCAGCATCTTTCGTGTCTCAATCCCGGCTCGGGACAAGTGCAATAATGTCTAACAGCGGCCTGGCGGGGAGGGCGAGGACCCGCGGCAGCATCCAGGCCCACATCCAGCTGTTTACCCAGCTGCTGCACGGCCACCGGGACCCGTCGCTGTATACAAACCGGCTTTGTCTATTGAACCTGAGCCCTGCTGATGGGAGGCAACGATCTTCTGACATATACGTCCTCATTGAACGAAATCCTTTCATGAATGATTCACTGGTTTGATGGGGAAGAAGAGGCCCACCGCACCGGGATTAAACAAAAAGCTGTAAGTGGATCCACAGGGAGTGACAATACACGTCAAATATTTGTATTATTGTGTTTGCTGAGAGGATTTCAGACCGTTTACTATTTCATGGAACGGAAGGTTGCATTACATGGTGCCGTAGTCAAAGCAAACAGTGCATTAGGTTTGTTTTTTAATCATAAAGGCCGTTTCCTGTTTTGCAGGTATTTGGTTGTCAACCAAAGTTTTGGAGGAATACCACATTTCGACCTGAGGAAAAGATGAAAAGTCAGAGTATTTGTTGCAGATTGTCGGTGCCAAATTCCACGGCCATCCATCTGAGCGATTTCAATCAGAACTTTGTCCACTTGGAGCTCGGAAAACATCAGAAATCCCATTCGTCATTCAGTCATTCATCTTCAGGGCAACGTGGACGTGTGAACAAATGTCAGAGAAATCCTTCCCATACGTTGGGAAAGTGACGGACGGCTTGAATGAAAACAATTGAGCCGTCGGATGGAATCCGGGGCCATTAGCTGCAGACGACATGAACATGCTTTCGTGTGAAGTCTTATTTCTGGCTTCGTCCTGATCAGCTCGGGGCTCTTCGATTGGCTGTGTGCCAACAAAAAAAACACATTCTTAGTTTTATTTTAGCACGCATTACTAAAAAAACAAAGATGTATAAAGTTCTGTCGACAAATCTCTCAAAATTCTTTTGCCGTACAGCTCCAGAATCTCTGTATTTAATGAGGTTTTGGGGAAAATAATAAAACATTAAAGCATTTTTGGTCCTGACTTGTTAACTTTTCCCCTGGGAGACAGGCATAGACATAATTTGCAGCTGCCCTGTGCGTGTTTAACCAATCAGCCGAGGTCCCCCCTGCAAACACCAACCCAAAGGTTCCTGTACATTCACAAAATGCTGACCTCCCTGACCCGGGCCTTGTCAGGCCGTGGTCCCTCAGGGTGACATGAAAAGATCGTATGAATCGTTTTAATAGGCACGTCGGTCATTTGGAGTGTTTACTTCCACTGGTATTTATATCAAAAAAGTATTTAAACCAACCAGGATGCAGCTGTGTGTCAGAGAGCGTGACCTCAATGACCTTTGAAATGAACTCGTTTTTCACACCCACTTGTTAAAATATATGCTATATATATATATATATATATATATATGCTCTAAATAAAGAAGACAACTCAGAGTAGGTTATTGGTGCACGCGTACGCGGCATGCAACCGAGATGTCTCCTTCTCAGTTCAGAGGTCATGAGCAACACCTCCACAAGCGTACTAGTGTTCTTTCCAGTGTTTCAAGGATTCTTGGCCTGGGTTGTGAAACCTCCCACTGATATTCATTGATTATGTAGCGGAACCTTATGGTGCCTAATGATTCAAGGCGGGCATGGGATAACACGTCCAATTCACGGAGACAGAACAAAGCTGCTGCGAGCAATTCAGAAATTCCAACACCACATGAATGCAGCACGAAGCCTCCGGCGTTTCACCTTGGACTGTTTAGAAGAAGCAGCCGTCGTCACGGTGACGTCGCCCGCTGGTTTTGCCGGCTGCCGCTTTGCCATCTCAGATTTTTGGGGCTTTTGCTATCCGTGTTTTTTTGTAACCAGAAGTGAAACGAACACTGAATGAGCCAATTTTAGGCAACCAGAATGTTCCGCATAACTTTCATTACATGAAATCACTCTGAGGAAGCAAAAGACGATGAAAAAAATAGACTGGTAGCAACCTATCAATCACAAGATCCCCTCGCCTGAAAGCTTAGGCAGTTTTATTATCTATTTGGCTGTAAAAGGACGATCATTTACTAAATGAATATTACGATGTATTGAAGAAGACTTAAAACTAGCGATTGGAACAATAAACTCATGTTTACAATGTGGTAATGAATAAAGGGAGATTTAGAGTCATTTTATTATCACAGTTCTTTTTTTGGCAACCAGAGGAGCCACACCCTCACGTAGCGTCTCCTTGCTCATAGCTCTTCTCCTCTCACTTGGTTTAAATCACTGCATCTTCCCACATGAAACCTGAATGCATGTTTTTTTCTACTAGAGTGAGACGAGGGAGAAGAGGGGGGGGGGTGAATGGTAGAAACGGGGGATAACTGTGCACACTTTCATACAGGCATTCATATCGGACACACGCAGTGGTGAGATGAATGAGAAGAGGGGCACTTGTGAGTGAAGAGGGCACGCTTTTTCGGATTTTCCATTTTGCAAAATTACAAAAATTGTAGAGCGGCCCCCTCTTGATTCCACTAGTGAGGTTTCAAACACTTATAGTTGATCCAACAACGACCTCATTTCAAACACACGGAGGCCTTAACCAGCGCTTCAGCCTTTCAACAAATATTTTCATGACTCTTTTCAGTGTTTGCCGGGTCTCAACTACACACACTTGACTACTAAGCCATTGAAATGCCTTTGGAACAGTATTTCATCCTACCGCCGAACAACAATTCCCACTTCTCAGCTACATCTCAATCTGCACGTCACAAAGAGTGCGTTATCTATTTCTAAACTTGTGTGGATCTCCATAAAACCTACTTTGCTTTGTGGTCTATTTCACAGCCCATCGTATTCTGCTTACAACATTTACAGAGGTAACAAATAAAAGGGAGAAGTAGAGTTGTTTACTCATAGACTTCCATACAATCGCACTTGCAATCAAAGGCGTCGCCCTCTGCTGGTCGATGCTGGTGAATGCAAGGTGCTTCTGCATTGGTTGGTGCTTCTGCATTGGTTGGTGCTTCTGCATTGGTTGGTGCCTCTGCATTGGTTGGTGCCTCTGCATTGGTTGGTGCCTCTGCATTAGTTGCCTGTCACACACTCAGTCATACACTGATTGCAGAGGCCGCCAAACAAGCTTCCACCTGCCCACCGAGATCTAAACTAACACAGAGTGATGCAGACTTCAGGAGCAACTTGGGGTTGAAGTCAACATTCATGATCAAACTGTCCGTTTTTGAATTGAGCTGATGTCACTTTTAAAAACTCCTAGATCATCATTCACACAACCAAGAAAATGCTAGACACTCGTGTGTCTGCCTCCCTCGTGATAGCCAATCAGTATAAATCTCTACCTCTAAAAGAGGCAAGTTTTTAAGAGAATAAGGCAATCTCTCTCTATCTCCCCCCGACATGGCCGGCAATCCCAATGTTGCGCTTTCAAAGACGAGAAGCGTGCAATCAAAGAATAATTAGCCTACTATTGAGAAGCACTTTACAGTCCCTCTGTCTTTTTTCGCAGCCCACAAGCCGGAGCTGACAGTGGCTGCATACCTCAGCCTCCACGGCCTCAGAGCAAAGCAAAGGTTAGAATACCTCATGCTGTGAATCAGCGAACAGGCTAAAATAATAGGTGGTAATCTGGACAGCTCTACGTACGTTCTTCAGTAGTGTCTACTCAGTTGCATACCTATTATTTTTCTTCTCTGCTTCAACCCCTGAATTTCCACCGGATTAAAGGCTTATTGCGCATATTGCACAGACTGTAGTGAGGTGTGTTCCATGTTACAAAAACATCCTTAACCACAACTAGATTTGCCGTCTTAGCTTCGGCCTGTGTCAGACACAAGCATTAGCACCGGCTTTTGGTTTGTCGATCCAACAACGTTCTCCTGCCACAGTAAAACGCCAGGGTGCAAAAAACAGCTATTTCTAAAAGGTTGTTAGGGTTTGAATACCAACGTACATTCACCCAAACAAATAACACATTAGCCCCGAAGCGGCAATTTTGACGGAGCTTGCCTAAGAAGCTTTCTCTATTCTAATGAAACTGGACTACGTAATTGCAGTGGGGGTTTACTTCTGTCAGGAGTCAGGTTGCCGCCTTGAGAATGTGACAGGCGGAATAACCAAATATGAATCAACTCTAACACCCTCTGGCCGGGGATGCACCTGAGGTCTGACACACAGGACGCCTGGGAGAATCCAGATGTTGCCTCACCTACCTACCTACCTACCTACCTACCTGCCTGCTGAAGAAAAACTATTGATTTGCTGATTGCATTTGAAGCAAAGCTCTGCTGTCATGTGACAGAAACAACAGCAGACAGCAGAACAATCACCCCCCCCGGACGTAATGTTCCGCCTCATGAATGGAAAGAACGTCACGCAAAACTCCGTTTAGAAATGTGGCATTTTGATTGATTCAAACGGTGGATGACGAGCAACGGGTTGACTTATCGGATGAAATTCGGCTTCTGGGCCTCCGATGGAAACATTATATTTCGGCATACAGCGTGACAAATATTTCAGAGGTATTTTAAACTTTTACAAATAGGTTAACGTTGGTCGCTACCGCTCTCCGTGGTCCATCGTATTGGAAATGATCCGAAAAAAACTGCAGAGGAAGCCGGAATAAAGTTGGAATTTTGAAAAAAAAATAATAATAAAACCGGGTTGAGGCTCCTTCGTAAGCCGAATGAAAGCAGCGCTTTTAAACAGTTGAAATCCAAATTTAATTGGATTCTATCAAACGCATATATCCGGTAATAGCCTTGAAAATCACGAAATAGTTTTTTCTCCAATGGCGTTTGGCACGACGTTCCGCGTGAAAACATCACGCATCAGCCTACCTGAGCTGCCGACACCACATCGAAGCTGGATGACGTCTAATTGCGAACAGAACGCGCACTCCCCCCCAATCCCGCACGCGCATTTATAATCATCCAATATCCACCGTATCGATCAAACACACCAACGGGAACAGGTCCCGCATGCACAGATGAATAAAAGGGGGTAAAGGGATCCACCACAGCAGCGGACAGACAGCGGCGCGCATAACAATCAGCCAGACGGGCACGAGCGCAACAGGCGCCTCAAGTCTCCTCACCTGCAGGAGACACCGCGGAGAGCCGATGGAGAGGACACATGTCCCAAGCGGGCGGGCGGGCGGGTCGGACGGCCGGGGGCGGCAGTCCGCCTGCACGAGCACCGGCTCGCTCATGCACGGGGCGCAGAGGGAATTCGCATCTTTACCTTCCAGCGCAGAACATTGCACAGGAGTGAGCGCGGAGGAAGGGAGGGGTTCTCCGTGTGAAGTCGCCGAGGCAACGAGGACGGCACCGCGTCCGGTCCAAACCTTCAGTGCAAAAGGGGGGAGAATTAACGCAAAGTGTCACCACTACGCACAGAATTGTTCACCTCTAACCCTTTTATTTAGGGCAGGTTGAGCCTGTTTGAAGTCTCCAGAGTAAAAGCAAGACGGCGAGCCCATGTTGACCCCCTCTACCTCAGACAGCAGTCTTCCAACTAGAAATTACTGATGAATACACCTGTTTCATATTTATGCCCAAAAGGATTAGAGGGATATCCCGGATGGCCTTCCACTATACCTTCTATCTATGAGTCCATGATCTACTGATGAGCTGAAGAAGGCCGTGGGTCAAAATGGTCGAAAGCTGTAAATGTGTTTCTGGCATTTGACCTGTTTTCAATTACGACAGTAGAGAGAGGAAACAGAAAAATGCCCAGGGAAGACCTTGCAAAGTGCCCGCTGAGGTTCCCCGACGTGAATCGAACCAGGTTTCATTGGGCCGCTCCAATATTTCCATTTCCATTCCATTCCAACACATTCCTCAACGTGAGAGGAGACGTATAGACATCTGACCTACCAGATACACACAGCAGTGGAAACCCTGCCAACAATCCCCAGAGAAACAAGTGCTTTATTCTGAAACCAAATCCCCTCGTTTCCTGGTGGTGGAGATCCTGACTGCAGCAGCTTGATGCGTCTGTTTCCTTCCCCACGTATAGAGAGCAGATTAAATGAATGGGAAGTCATCGTGTGGCAGACAGGCAAGAGACCTTGCTTCTGCGTGGGTGTGTTAATGACAATTTATCTCCAAAGGACAGTTTTGTAGAGATCTATTGTTACTTTACATAATTGCTGTTGGTGGCTTGGGGGGGGGGGGGAATTTGCAGGACCAACAGCTGCTGGTGCCCTGTAACATACCGGGGACTGCAGACAGACATTCTATATTTATAACTAAATGCTGTATCTGTCACGGAGCTTTCTTTAAATAATCACAGCTGAATGTGAAGCCTTGTGGGTAATTCCGGTTCAGAGTGGTATTTGCTGATGATTCCGTGCTGTTGTTTCAGCAGGTCACAGCGACCCGAAGAGAAGCAGGTCACGTTCCTGCCAAGCCTGAACGTGGCAGCCAATCGGTCTCCATCCTCTGCCAAAAAAAAAAAAAAAAGCACACGCAGTAATTGAGCCATCAACCGAGGGTTGTCCACCTCTGATGAAATAATGGTAACCGTCCAGCAACGGGCGGGTTATGAGACAAATGGTCTCTGAGGACACACATGGGACAAGCCTCATCACGTCTCCTCAGTCTGAGCAGAACAAACGGGTCAAACAGTGGTTGAGGCCCATTGTGGTTGTTGTTGTCTTCACACGTCTCTCTCTGGGTTTGTGTCTCTTTGAGGTCATTCTGCATCCTGCTGTTGTTACCTGATGTATTTTTGTATTCATGTTGTGTCTCATGGTGGTGGTTTTGGGCCTCTTTGTAGTCATTTTGCATCGCTTTTAGTCATTTTGTGTAGTTTACTCTTCATTTATGCACCCTTTGCGTTTGTTATCTTTTTGTCGTCATTTTGCAGCTGTCTCAAGTTTCTTTGCAGTTTGGTTGGTTTGCTTCGTCTTTTTTTGAAGAATGGGACACAGTCCTGCTATGTGGAATGACACATGCACAGTGGAGCTGCGAGGTTTGAGTGTTAGGATTCTTTTTGTGAAGTATGCATGTACGTAGTTAAACAAACATTTATTTTATAGAGAAGCCTAATCATTCATTTCGGAACCTTGCCTGAACCTGATTGTTTGCACACGTTGTTAAATTCAGGGTTAATCGATATCGCGTCATGCCCTTCCAGTCTTTACCTTCCGAGTGCATCTACTGCGTCCACCCTATATTTGATGGATCACATGGGAGTGTGAGGCTAAGCGTCGTCCGTAGATGAGCACCCTGTAAACAGCAAACTGTTTGATGGAGGCTGAGACTCAGACGACAGTCTGATGCCACTCTGCTGTGTGACTGTACTGCAGCAGCCTCCCACTCAGGCTGGATATCCATCAGTGGTAACCGTCAGCGGCATCATTTCCCCATTCACCTCACTGACAGTGAATATTCACGTATCTTATGGGCCTCATATCTTGAGTGCGAAAGCCACGGCTCTTAATGCTGTCATCAAAAAGGAATTTACTCTGCTGCCAAGATGAAGCAGTACCATTCTCCGCGGGCTCGTACATTCCTCAGCCGCGGATGCGTCCCGGTCGTATTGTGCATGGCATGGATTTAGGCTCTGGCCAGTAAATAAAGTGATTTTACTGCATAGCAGATTGATCCATCCTTGGAACAGGTCCTGTGTTGGTGTTGTGACTGTTGGAGCCAAAAAAAAACAACAACAAAAAAAACGCTCCATGTGAGTCATTGCGGTGCGCGTCCTGTCATCCCCCTGCATACATATACGAGAGAGTTGCTCCGTTTAGCTGTCAACGCATTCCTCTTCTTCAAAGCAGTCCTTCCCTTCTTAAAGTTTGTATTTTGGCAATCATCCGTACGCTTTCACTTTCTCTTACCGGCTTTAAGAAACCTCGACTCCGCTCTGATCAATCAATCAATATTGTTTGGCAACCGCTAGTGTAGCTATAAGCAGACAACATGAGAACAAATATTTTGTTTTGTTAAATATAAATGCATGCAATCATGATCTGGTGCATGCAGACCAAAAACTCATGTATGAATCTGAAATATCTACTTTTTTATTATACAGTCTGTGATATATTTCGGCTAGAGAATCGAACATAGACCAGAAAGCCTCCGGAGGACGGCGTTGGCGCAGGGTAGATTGACCTTCTGGAGGTCAACTAACTATGCAATGCAAAACCCATGCAGCATACCGTTCAGTATATCAGTAAAGGATGTAGCACATCCCAATACGCCAAATACAGTATTCCAAAATATACATCCGGTCACATTTTGCAGCATGCACGCAGATACGTGAGCAAGAGGGTCAAAGTTCAAGATGCTAGGTTTCGAGAAAGTAATATGTCACGATTGAAAACATGCACTGTGTTTTGTAAGATCGGTATGCAGTATGAACCAAAAGTAAAAACAAAAAAACACAAGATTTGGAACAGAGCTAATTATGCAAAGGTGAACAGGGGAACAGGAGGCCCGTATAGTAGCAGGACGAGCACAGCTCATTGGCGCAGAACAAGCAGAGCAAACTGGTTAGATGAAGGCAAGACCACTCGAGTGGGCGTCGGCGGAGGTACGAGCCATCTGGAGGTCGAGCGGGAGGTCGAGCGGCTGTGGCTTCAAAGGCCCCGAGGTCATCGACATAACGACCACTTTGTTGGGGGGCTCAGATGAAGTCTCCACACGACCACGGGATCTTCGCCGTGGAGACTCGGGGTCGTGGAGGACGGCCGGCGAGCAAGGATCCACTGGAGAGCAGATCAGGAATTTGTACTTGACGTCTAAGGCGAGTGTACCAAAATAAAAAAAGAAACACCAAACCAATGAATGAATCCACAGAAGGGGAATTTGATTCATTCGGTTTTGTTTTTGATTTGGTTTATTTTTGTTAGTTAGCTTTTCTTGTTCTTTTCTTCTTACCTTTGTAAACTGAATGCCGCACACAGAAAAAAGAAAACGTGCTCTTAAATTTCATATTGTGCACTCCCCAAACAAAGTATACAAAAAAAAAAATACACAAAAAACAATCACAGCTGACTGGCAGAAAAACAAGGCACCGCTTCACCAACAAACGTATTGCGATCTCACGTCTCAAACCGCAGCATCGACAGGAGGCTCGGTCGGCGGACAGCGGCGTGCTGGTTGCTATGGAAACCCAGTGCTTAGTTACTCACTCCATGAAATTAATGTTTTCGGATCGGCGTTAACAGTGAGCGGTCCCCAATGCAGCAGCCACAGAGACGTCCCCGCACGCTTTGCACGTTGATGCGTTCCATTGAGGCGACGTGACATCACGAATACTAATTAATGCGCAAACGCTTCCAACAAATGATACTGGTGTTGTTGCACTGAATCTCTACAGACATTGCTGCTACTGGCATCATCCAGGCAGGTAAGCATCACTGGGACATCCATCATCAAATGGTTAGTTGGGATAAAAGAAGGATTTTCTGTTACCTTTTCTATATTTATACCTGCATTTTAAATCACATGTTCTGTTTTTCCGTGCTGCTGTGAACAGACTAGAAATTTGATTTTCTACTAAAACTCAATCAAGGGCCGAAATTCAACACGTGGCAATCTCAAATCGGTCAATACCAGCGTTATTCGATAACGATAGCGTTAACGATTTGATTCGTGGTCAGAGAGGAATATCGGCTGTGTGAGGAGCCGGAGGGAAGAGACGCATAATAAATGCTCACCAGGCTTTTATCTGCTCAGTGCACAAGTCATTATGGCATTCACCTGGTGCGAGGCACGGACGTCACCGGATCATTCAAGTCTTCACATTTTCTGCCATATAATCTTTCAAATATTTAAAACACGCCGAAGCCTGACGGAAGAAACACTTTGGCCGAGTGGCCAAGAGTGGAACTTTTTAATTTTATCCCCACAGAAGGAATATCAACTGCTCATAAATCATTCATGAAGTATCATATCACATCACATGGCATTTTAACGGTTCATTCATTGTTTTATTGTGATGCTCTTGTGGAAAGGTCAGCCGATGTTAGCGGCGTCTCGGTGGTCGATCCTCGCTGAGCGAAGGGGGGGGGGGGGGGTCCATAACAGGCGAGCACAGGTGGTGGGATTTCTTTAGCTGAACGGGCAGCAGGCCGTCCCTTTTATAGAAATCCATTCATGAGTCCACGTTCATTTACAGATTATTTTTTTTCTTTCATTACGCTATTGTACTGTCTGATCCCCAATATTTCTAAATCTAATGATCCGTCTTTCATTCTGTCAGTCCATCTGTCTGTTGAGCGCCTTAACACCGGCGCCTCCCGGATATTCAGGACTTTTATGGATATCCAAGGTCCCCGTCAGGATCGCGGGAGAAGTCCCATGCGCCAAGACTTGTCCACAAGAAATCCCCCCCAGGTTTAGACCCCTTGGTTAGTTAGAGGAATAG